TATATATTTTTATATATATATATATATATTTATAGTTACCTCTTACATTGTAAAAGTAAAAAGTGCAAAAGTATAAGCCTTCAGATTCCCATCAGTGTGGAAAGCCGAGGGTTACTTTTTTTTCCTTTTATACATTGTTACGTGTGTGTGTGATTTGTAAACATTGCTACCTGTCCACAGTTTGTTTATTTTAGTTTTTGCTCTTAAGAGACCCAATAGTCATCCATCTATACAATGGTTTGAGAAGGGGAACTTTCTTTCTGAGAATCCCATTCAACAATTAGTGCAAATTTTAGAGAGTAGGTGGGAAAGGGGAAAGTAAGGCAACAGTTACAAATGGCTCATCTCAAACTTACAATACGAGCCCTAACATCTGCATTACCAAAAGGGCAAGAAAGCCCTTTCTTCCACCAGGCTTATGGAGAGGTTCTTTAATTCCTTCTCAGAGGACACTAGTTTGTAACCCAGTTGTACTAATACCTGTTGGCATGCATTCTGTGTGAATGCCACAATTTCATAAGAGAGGCGGAACCGCCACTTCTCTGCCGTTGCTGCTGAATTTCGGACAGTCCCATATTTGTGCTTGGCTGCTGACCTGTCTCCTCTTGTATTATTCTGTATCCATCGTTCCACATTACTATCCATTGGGATACCAAGGAATTCGTACATCTCCTCAGTCTTTTTTAGAGGATTCCTAGCTAGGTCTTCATACCGCACCAGCATGTACTTGCCTTTCAGCCATGAGGGTCTATTTAGGCCAGTGGAAACGGAGTTCAAAAAGTCCTCACAGACAGTGGTGAGTTGTGTCACATCCAAGTTGTAGGGTTTCCTACCTGTGCCATCCCAGATTCGCCAAAGTCTGTAAGTGTCTCTAAATGTTTCACTCCTAGAAGCAAGGATGCCTCTGGGGTCTCTCACTAATTGTATAATTTTCAGATTGAGCCTTGGATCATCCACCAAAGCCCGAAGGTCATTGACCTCTGGCACTCGCACGGTTTTGATAGCAACATGCCCATGATCTTTGCATGATTCAGTGGCTAGAGTCAGGTTCAAAGTGCCACATTTTTTCACACAGTCCCCTTCTTCCAGAGTGGTATCAATTGGTGCCAGTGTCTCACAAACTGGTGCAGAGCACAAAGCTTTGCTGGCCCCTCTCCTGAAGAGTCTGTCTGTGGTGTGGTTCACCGGCTGTGGTTTGATGTAATTTTCCAAGAAGTAAAGATCACAGTCATAAAGACTCCTCAGCAAATCTCTGCCAGCTCCCAGCATGATCCGTCGGTCCATGGAGCCCTTCATCTGTGTTAACTTTGGAATTAAGGTGTACTGGACATGGTAAAGGGGCTCAAATAAATAGAAAACATCAAAGTGCTGATTAAAGAGCTGACCAACGAAAGAAGAACCACTTCTGGTGGTGGCCAAGATCAGGACATGAGTCTTCTTAGAAAGGTTGTAAGAAAAAGTTGGGCTTTCATCACACAGTCTGTCAGCAGATTCAACCTCCTGATTCAGGCTACAATTCATGGGATTGGGTACAGGGCAACTTTGGAAGGACTTGGTTGTGAAGGTGCGGATGGCTGTGTATTGGATAGCAATGGAGGCCAAAGCAAGTAGGAGGACAGCCTTCCAAGAACATTGCATGGCTGGTCACCTTCATGGAGATTCTTCACAGTTCAGTTTAGTATCTGCAACACAACAGAGTCAATCTGATTGAATGCGAGGTTCCCAGAACATCTATACTCCAACAGAAATCATGCACACTCTGTGCAATAGCTTCCTTTTAGGAATCTCAAGAAGCCATTACAAAAAGGTATGTGTGTCTGTGTATGTGTAAACACTGTGTTCTGTAATCGCAAGACTTTATATTCTAAATACAGTAGTTTATACACATCTACATTTTCAGCCCTGCTGAGAAGAAAAAAGATGCCTAAGGGCTTCCCTTTCTCTCCTAGTAAAAAAGGTGAAAATTGCTGCATTTTCATTGCCAATGAAAAGCAGTCCCCTGCAGTCTGATCAACTGCAGCAGGCTGTATTAATAGCTGGGGGGGGGGGGCAATGTATGACCCCAGGTCCATGAATGCGTGGAATAATATATATAATTCAGGCACAAATTGAATATATCAACTTCAATTGGAACTAAATGTGTGTCTGTGTATGTGTAAACACTGTGTTCTGTAATCTCAAGTCTTTATATTCTAAGTAAAGTGATAAAAAAGGTAAAAAAGGTAAAATTCAAAAGAATTACATTTTCTCCCTCCTTTTTTTTAAAAAAACAATACCTGGGATGGTTAATGGAAGGAGAAAATGTTTTTCACAAGCAACGTACAACCTGCCTTGCCAGAGGTTGGAGTGCCAAATTCAAATCTTTACCAACAAAGCACACTGAGAGGTGTGAGTAATTTACTACCCCACAGCCTAATCTCCTGCAGAGGAATGATAGTAAATTAGCCCTTCCTTTCTCTTACACACAATCCTGATTTCAACTGTTTCATGGATAAAAAAATAAGCACATACCCACACAAGGGGGAACACAATCATAGGCATGTGAAGTGTGGTCACTGAAAAATCAACCCTGTCATCTCATCTGCTTCCTGACCTTTTACATGCAATTTTCCAAGTTCTGTTACACCCAATTCCTCATCCCACCAGGGTTAGGTTCTAATGTTGGCATTCTGCTCATTTGTTTGCACAGAATACCCATTTCTGATTAAACAAACAGAACACATAAAGCTTTAGCCAATCAAATGGGGGGGGGCAGGCAGAGACACATACACGCACTTATTGATTAATTGATTACCAAAGGCATCTGGTTAACTGTTTTGTACATATGATTCAGGAAATTATTGAAGAATAAAAACTAATTGAGTGAAATCAATCCTATAGTGTATTTTTATTTTCTAAATTATCAACATAAAAATATCAAAAGACAAAATGTCAGCCTTCTAGTCCCTAATTATGAAGACATCTCTTGCAAATTGTTCGAAAACACTGAACAATTTCTTCCTATGAAATGCAAATAGAAAGACAAACATATTTATGATTCAAATGCTGATGTTCAGCAGCAACAAAATTCCCCTTGTAAAATTAAGATGCTGCTAGCGGGAAGAATCTAACAGTGTTGTTCCAGAAGTTTTAGTTCTATTAGATACTTCTAGTAATAGAAGAGGAAGTTGTACACTTTTTGTCAAGCCCCCCCCTTCCACCCCTTGCACATTTCTAAAAATAAACTTCAGAAGGTTGATGGGCCATTCAAATCAGCGTGGAAGAGAGTATACAGAAGGAATCAGAGAATATCACCTGTTTTTCTCTTTCGTTAGCAGAGGCATCACCTGGCTCTAAGAGTTCTCTTATACAATACCACTCCATTATTCTCAGTATTGACAGTTTAATCCACAGTGAACCCTTGCTGTGATCCAACGTCACCAGATGGAACAGATCTGTATGTGGACCTATTTGCATTTCATAGCAAAGAAACTGAAATTGTTGTTTGTAGTTTGAGATTTGAAGCAAAGATTAGTACATCAGAGTCCGTTTTGAGGTTTCACTAATGGAAGCCTGACAGCCTCTGGAAATATGCCCAACAGATTTCTTGAAAATGCAATAAAAAGCATTTTGGATAACACAACTGCTTTCTCTGGGCATATCCACACTTATTGTTTAAGCTGCTTCTGTCCTGTGCTTCTGGCAATTTATATTTAATCCAGTTTATGACAAATATGACCAGACTGAGGCACTTGGCAACAATTTGCAAGATATTCCATCTGGACTGAAGGCTGCCACATTTTTCTGTTGCTGTGCCTCCCATCTTTCTGTTCCGGGGGGCAGGGGGAAACTTCCAGTCACTTTCCTTCCTGTGGATGGAGCTTAATGCACATATACGTTTAATGCAAATATATACTGTTATATATGTGATGTGTGCATGTGTGAAACTATATCTATATAGACTAAAATTAAATGTATATATACAGAGTGAACAGAGTGAAAACATCAAATGCATATATATATAGGTATAGCAACCATCTTTAAAATAAAAAATTCTTTGTATTGTCGAAGGCTTTCACAGCCGGCATACG